CTTTGTTCGGTGTCGTTCAAGGTTCTAGAGGCGTATGCAACAGGATGGTCATTTGGGGGTGTTGATTGTGATAAGACGGCACCTATAGCGATGTTGGAGGCGTCTGTTGTCAAAACAAAAGGTTGAGTGAAATCTGGATATCTCAGAATCGGGTCATTGATTAATAGATTTTTCGGGTGATTAAATGATTCTAGAAAGGCAGGAGTATATTCAATTTTTGAATCTTTCTTCAAACATAGTGTTAGTGGCTTTGCATTTTTGCGAAGTCTTTGATAAATCGTTGATAATATCCAGCGAGTCCCAAGAAAGATTTAATGTATTTGCAAGTTTTTGGGATCGGGAAGTTTTTAACAGCGTATATTTTGTCGGGATTTGGTTTGACCCCTTCCGTTGTTATCTTATGTCCAAGATAATCGACTTCTTTGTGTAAAAACTCAGATTTTGCAAGTTGTATTTGAAGTTTGATTGTCGAAATCGCTCAAAAATTCCTTTTAGACGTTCGATATGTTCTTGTAGAGATGTACTGTAGACTATGACGTCATCTAGATATACTGAACATATTTCGTTTTGGAATCCTCGAAGTACGTTATTCATGACTCTTTGAAATGTTGCGGGAGAGTTCTTTAGTCCAAAGGGCATTCTTTTGAACTCATAGTGACCAGTGTCTGTTGAAAATGCGGTTTTCGGTATGTCTTCAGGGGTCATCTCGATTTGATGGAATCCGCTTGCAAGGTCTAAGGTTGAGAAGTACTGCGCTTTTCCTAATTTATCTAATATTTCAACAATGTTCGGTAATGGAAATTTGTCATCTGTAGAAATTTTGTTTAAACGACGAAAATCAATGACTATTCTCCATTTTTTCTTTCCAGTTGCATCAGGTTTCTTGGGTACGATCCATATAGGACTAGACCATGGTGAATTCGAATTTTGTATGATTCCGTTTCTCAACATTTCTTGAATTTGCATTTTTACTTCTGGCTTGTGGACTTCGGGATATCGATAAGTCTTTGTGAAAATAGGGGATTCGTCTGTTGTTTTTATCTTGTGCTTAATCTGGTTGGTAAATGTTAGAGGTGTACCTTCGACATAAAA